AGGAATGTGGTTAAAAAATCGCGCTTAAACTTCACTTGTGTGTAATCGGACTAGTGACATCACCCCTTCGATTTTTATAATACATTTTATGCCCGAAGGGGTAGGCAGAGGTGCACACTGAAGTAACACCTACTTTTCACTATTTATGTTATGAGTCTCATGTAATAGGGGGTGAGCCTATTGCCATATACCGGACACATTTTCAGATTCCGTGTTACTACTGAGATTTTTTAGAAACCCAGTAATACTTTGCCCGACCCGGGAATCGAATCCGAGACCCCTTGCCCGGCGGTCGCACTTGCGAATTTTTAAAATAATATCTGTAATCACATACAAATCCCTGTACTTCTTTTAACACACCTCAAAAATATTTTATCGATATACAATCTACAAAGTATCGACAACGCCTCATCTCTACATAAATAGCTAATTAGTTTAACAATTTGGTGCTAACTAACATCAGACGGCCCGACGCCCAGTACATACAAGATATAAATATATCGCTACATACATGTACAACACTGATCCAATTTCTTTTAAGACGTAGAAATTTGATATCTCTTGACATACAATTATTTACAAATTACTCTCTTATCTTCATATAAGTTTGTTTATACATGCAACAATTAAAATATTTATGTAATTAGCTTAGTAGCTATGAGTTAGAGTTTGTTGCGAGGGATTTCTCGGGTGGATACTGGTTTCATATGAAATTATTATCAAGGTAGAGGTGAATCAACTTTACGTTTTTATTATCGGGACATATTGAATTAAAGAATAATAAAGATTGTAGGAGAAGTCATCATCGTCATCAACAGCCTGTAAATACCCACTGCTGAGCAAAGCTTCTTCTCACACGGAGAAGGTTTGAGCATTAATCATCATGGTAGCTCAATGCAGATTGGCGATTTCAAACTTATAATTAGAAATTATAGGCCCAGGTTTTCTCACGATATGTTTTGCTTCACCGTTTGTGACTATAAACCTTCTCAAACCAAACGCCTTCTGCTGGAGGTTCCACCGTAAGCACGGGCCTGAGGACGGCGAGAATGGGTAGCTCGCCGCCCGACAAGAACCACACCCGAGCGTGCGGAGCTCAAACAGTCATCAGACCACCACAGATAAGGCCCAAAAAGGCCGATGCCGATACGGAGACGCGGAGTACTTAACGGGATACCGGGGTTCCGGCTAGAAGTGCAGGAGTAGGAACGGGGTGGTTTTTAGTCAGTAAGAGCCAGACACTCCCTCCCGCGTCACTCAGGCGGGAAAAGTCATTCGATGATATTCCCTCTTAAAAAAAAACTGAACGGAAAACAACTGCTGATGATGATAATGATTACCAGAATTTGTCGTATGGTAGTCCTACTATGCCTTTGTGTGTAATGAAGTTCATTCCCTACAGCTTCAAAGTCCTCAATTGAATGCACTTCCAACAATTTCTATGAGCAATTAGCCTACTTACTACATGAGATGACTCAGTTTTTGCTAAATTGATAACAACTTGATGTTTTGTCACTACACATGTTAATATGGAAAAATACTTCATTTTGATTGTAAATATTATTGTTTTTATTTAAATTTGGTGTGTGATGACGGTGGAGAAGAGTATATAATTGTCACCACGCCGACTTCAGCGGGTGTTATAAGAGCGACGATTAACAGAGACCGAGCAAGAACGGTCTTTGTCTTAACATGAGCCATGCTTCGGCACGAATAGGCCGGTTCGACCGGAGTGATACTACGGCCTCAGAGAAAACCGACGTGAAACAACGCTTGCGTTGTGTTTCGTCATGTGAGTGAGGTAACCGGAGGCCCAATAACCCTCTCCAATCTCCCCAATCCCTGAATCCCCAATCAATCCTCAAATTTGTAATCCATAAAACATAAGTAACACCTCATGTGTTTCATGTGTCATTTGCGATTGCTTACCATCAGGTGATCAGTCTACTCATTTACCGGCTTATCCAAGAAAAAAAACCTGCCTGCTAAAAGTGGAGGTATGGCAAACCCCTCTGCATTCTTCCATCGCTAGGATTAGGAAGAAAAGAAGACAAAGAAGAAAATTTGGATAGTCATACACTTTTTAACTCAATTTGACAATCTTATAATTTACTGGGTTCTTTATACAATTGGGGAAAAACGAGCAGATGGTAACCCATCAGCGCTTTATAAACGACGTTTAGAAAAACCAACATCAACCCCTCCTTTTTACAGTCGGTTAATTAATATACAAGTACTAAAACCTTCTCCTAAGTGTAACAAACACTTTTCTGAAAACCGCATCAAATTCGGTTCAACCAATCGCGAAGGAATCTCGCACATTCGTTTGTCGGTATGTATGTGTACATACCGACAAACACACATACAGGTCAAATTGAGAACCTCCTTTTCTTTTGAAGTCGGTTAAGCCAAGAGCCCTATGAAAAAAGACGTGATGAGGATAATATGCATCCGCAAAGGGTCAAAGTACGCAAAGCTATGTATGAAAGGAAACTGCCGCTGAATGCATTTGAATCATCAGTACTTTGCTAAAGGGAAGAGACGCCCACCGGTTTTATAGGGATTTACCAGTGTTTAGGAATTCCCCTTAATATGAGTCCTCCCAATGGTGATGTTCCGTATATCAATAGTGATTAAACTCTTCCGTTTTTAACGGATAATCTCCTCCTTATTAATGCAAAATCTCGATGATGAATAAAGTTTTTAACAATTTACAAAAAAAAAATACATACAAAAGTGTCAAAAATCGATCTTAATACAATGATTTTTAATTGAAATCTGTTTTTAATTTCGACCTTAATGGATTTCACATTTGATGAAGACTCAGCATCACCGTTCTCTGATAAACCTGAACCTTTTAAACTACGATCTCTAATCCGTCTATCAATCGTGGAAATTATGTCAAAGCCTCTTTTTTTCCGTGATAGAACGAGCACACGAGTCACCTGATGGTAAGCAACCAGCGCCACCCATGGACAAGTAGAGGTTAGAACTATGCAGAGGAAATTCAAAGTACAGCAATGGCTTGATTGGTCTGTTAATGACGAAAGAGGTAAGACTGCCTCGATAGCTAAATCCCGGGTCGGGCAAAGTACTACTGGGTTTAAAAAAAAATCTCACTAGTACTAGTAGCATGGAGCCTGGAATTGTGCCCGGTTTATGGCAATAGGCTCACCCTCTATTACATGGGACCCATAACATAAATAGTGGAAAGTGGGTGTTACATTGTACAGTGGCATAAAGTACCGTAATGTAGGTACCCCTTCAGAGAATTGTAGCAATGGGCAATCCATAGTCCGAACCTACTCGTATGAGAGACATGATGTTATGTATGAATGATCAATGGCAATGCACTAGCGTCTGTTACATTACAAAACATTCAAATTCAAAACCGTTGTGATACAAATTATAAGGTTATGTCATATTAAAGATAAGCACATCTCACAGCTGTTTTAATAATACATTTAGCAAGAGATAAGGAAGTTAGGTACCTAAACTCATATCAAACAATTTGGTAAAACAAAGAATCGTTGTGACATCATCGATTTAGTAATTGTACTAATTATTATTATTATCACGTGGGCAACATGCTCTTTTGGTATGCTGAATCTAATGTCTGAACGTGATAGAAGATATAAGTTTAATATTAGTAATGAAGTTTAGGATGAAAAGTCATGGTGCTCGTATTATAAAACTGTATGACTTTTATGCACTGCCACCGGCACATAATAAAGGAAAACATGGATTCTAAGGATCTTTTTTATGCGATAAGTCGTCAAACTAGCAGATAGATCACCTGATGGTAAGCAATCGGTACTACGTATGGACACCCACCACTCCAGATACGTTACAGTGCCGTTGCCAGTTTTGTGCAAGTTTACAATTTGAGGATTGAAAATTGGGAATGAGCAAGGAGGATTGGGGCTCCAGTTATGTCACTCGCACAGCGACATACACAGCAAGTGTTGTTTCACTTCGGTTTTCTGTAAGGCCTTGGTATGACTCCGGTCGAGTCATTTAAAACTTGGGACTTACATATAAACTTAAAATTATAAGTTTGAAATCGCCAATCCACCTTGAACAAGCGTGGTGGTTAATGATCATTCCTTCACCGTGTGAGCAGAGGCCTTTACCGAGCATTGAAACCGACTGATGATGATGATTTAATATTATTATCAAGTATTGATTAAAAATAAAGTGTCATGGCAGCGGTTAACTGTAGGCGTTTTTATCTTAAAATAACGGATGCAGTGATGAGCAAAAAGTATAATAAATGAACCGCGAGGGAATTAAATTCTTTTTGATAACAGTTCATGGATAATTTTATAAGCATTCATTCATATTTTACTTACGTTTTACTTGTGTATGTATCACTTATTACTTATTAAGGCTGTTCAATATCCAATGCTGGACTATGAGTATTTTTTTTATAGCATAAGCCGGTACACGAGCAGACGGATCACCTGATGGTAAGCAATCGGCGCCGCCCATGGACACTCGAAACACCAAAGCGTTACAAGTGCGTTACCGGCCTTTAGGGAATTGGGAATTGGAAATTTGAGGATTGTGCAGGATTCGGGGATTCGGGAGGCGGGGACTAGGGATGGGGGTAATTGGGCCTCCGGTAACCTCAATCACACGACGAAACACAACACGTTCACGTCGGTTTTCTGCTCGGCCGTGGTATCACTCCGGTCGAGCCGGCCCATTCGTGCCGAAGCATGGCTCTCCCACACTTATCTCTCTTACTTAAAATGTTGCTGTATTCTCCACGTATAAAGGGCGAGTTAAAGATCACAGTTTAAATGGTTCAGGTTTATCAGAGAGCGTTGCTTCCTGGTCTCTGTCAATATATAATCCCTTTAGTCGCCTTTTATGACACCCACGGAATAGCAGCAGTTGTGACAAATACACATATTCTACTCTGCCGTCACCCCACAGCAAACAAATTACACCCATCCATAAAGCAACCTCGGTTAACAAAGCGTTACTTCACTCACACTATACCATGAAACAACAAATCCCATAGCAACTACCCACCATAAACTTGGCAACCGCAAAACTTCGCTAAAAATAGAGCGAAAATTATTCACCATGAGTCATAGTGGTTAGGGAATGGCGATCAATCACGATAAGAGTCCACTCCCTGTCGTAAACCATGGGGTACGGCTACTGTAAAGGTCAGACCACACCTAGAAAAAGTGCTTCAAGTTTGCACAGATAGTTCTATTGAAAAATATAGGGTCTACCAAAATACCCATTTTGGGAGACCTATATATTGATTTTTGACTTATATTGATATTTTTTCATAGGGTAAAGGGACAAACGAGCAGGTGGATCACATGTCATCAATCCTGCCTATGGACACCTGCATCGCCACAGGACTTATCAGTGAGTTACATTACCAGGCTTTGGGGGAGGGGGTTCCTGTAACATCACTTAAACGACGAAACACAACGAAAGCTTTGTTTTACAAAACAGAGATCTGATTGCTATCAATTTGATAATGAATAACAGCTATGGTATTGTTTTATTTAGTACAGCCCCTTCCCTGTTATTAACGATGGGTTTAGCTATCGGAAAGGTCAAACCACACCTCGGAAGATAATTTTAATTTGTGGACAGAATAGTTTTGCAAGTGGGACCTTTTGAAAGACCTAGATTAGGCACTACTTATAGCACTTATAGGTCTTCTTTAGTATGCTGGCTTAGTATGTATGAGTTTCTTTCTTATACGTCTAAAGAGATCTTAACGTTACCGCGATCGGAGCTCTGATTGGCTTGCTCCAATAAACTAACCGATGGTTATGTTTTCGGCTTGCCCACGTAATCATTTGACGAGGAACTCGACTAGTTTCAAGCCTAATAATTAATTTAGTATGTCTCACAAAATTTATAATATGAACTAACCACTATTTTATAATCTCGCTTGAGCCTCAATCTCGCGAGATTTGTATTCCCTAGTTCTCACCTTACTATTTAGGTTTCATAATTGGAAAAATCTAAATTCTAGGCCTCCTTTCACTTAGGAATAAGAGACGTGCTCTTGTTATATAGCCAACCATAACATCACGCCTTTTATTCCCGAAGGAGGCAGAGTTACACATTACGGCACTTAATACCACTGTACAATGACAACACACCCACTTTCCACTATTTATGTTATGAGTCCCATGTAATAGGGGGTGAGCCTATTGCCATATACCGGGCACATTTCCAAACTAAGTTCTACTTCTGAGATGTTTTGAAAAAAAAGCCAGCAATACTTTGCCCGACCCGGGAATCGAACCCGAAACGCCTTGCTCGTCAGTCGTACTTGCGACCAATCGGCCAACGAGGTAGTCAGTAACCGACCACTCTCTGTTAAACCATGGGATTTATATATGAGCTACTGTAAAGGTCAAACCGAACCTTGATAAAGCTCTTGATGTTTGCTCAGGTGTATTTAAAGAGGGGTTTATAGAAGACCTAGTCTGTAGATAGGTTAACATTTGTTTGATTTTATGTCTGCCTTCAACTGTATTTGAAAAATAATGAAGATCGAAATTGTATGATAAAAATGGGGGGTAGGTATCTGATTCTGATGTTCACTCATATAAAGAATAAGGTAGATGCCTAATTTTTATTTCAATGTCCGTCTGGTAGATTATTTTAAATCATTAGACACGTATTTTTTATTTTCTTACAGTAACGAATACTTTCGACGATATATTGATTTAAAATGTCGCGTGACGTCACTTCTATGTACATTTTATACGTAGTAATGACGTTGACGTTGAAACTTTGATTCGTTTTATCTAAGTGTTGTTTTATTATACGACAAATTAAAAAATATGTGTCTAATATTTTTTCATTACTTAACTTACGGAGATCTTGAGAACAATATAGTTAAATACATACATCATACATATCACATACATAACCTCACGGCTGTCTCCCATCGGGGCAGGCAGACACGCAGTCTATGGAATGCCAATTGCTACGATTCTTACATACCTCTTTCGCTTCCTTAGCAGTTATCAGTCTTTTCATGCATGCTCGTCGGTAAGGGTACTTTTAATTTGGCCCTTCTTTAATATATTATCGTCAATTTGGTCGATATATGTCCGTATAGTGTGCCTTCTACTGATAGTCAGATATAATTACATATTCGTCTGTACCTATTTCAAATATATATTTCAATCCTAGGTTGTTTATATTATTGGCGTCATTAACGTATATATGTATTTCTAAAACCTCATTTTATAGAAAATCGATTTGGAGATTGATTCATGATAGCACAAGTTTAAACCTTAGTGGATTTTGGTTGCTATTTTAAATGGATAATCCTGTACTTGTTGTAAATATGATAAATAAATAAATAAAAAAAATAGGCGTGATTGATGATGTGATCAAAATAAACACATTCTCTTTTCCTCCATCTTTACTTAGGTATTACCCACCTATTCAACACGTACACACAATTATCTTTGTAACTACAGAGCAAACTCCTGCGCACGTCGTTACGGATCATTCCTAAATGCGTAATATATAACAATATATACAAAAGATAAGGCAATGAGATAAATGCTAAACGTAAGAATGGAAACTGCACGTTGGAATATTGATATGCGAAAATAGATCTTATTGTAATGGATATAGGGTTGACGGACAAGGTCAGGAACGTCGTCATTTAATGACGTCACGTTCATCAGTAAATGTTTATGAAACATAGGCCTTTTCTTAGAATTTTCTTAGGAATAATGTGGGAGTGAGCGTAAGTTGTAATTTGAGTTACTGAAATTGAATCCTATTATTGTTTGGGTAAAGTAGATATTTGTGTAATGCTATGATTTTTACTAATACAGTCAATTAGCTCAGCTTTTAAGTTTATAACTGAGTCACCAATTAACAGCTTAGAAACTACTTAAAACATGCTAACCATGAGGTCTAAGTGTGGGTCTAAGTAAAGATTGAAAACAATCCAAAACTTAACGAAAACCAAATTATTTTAGAAAGTACATAGTTATTGTGATGTTCCGGAGGTTTAACCCGTCGAGCGTCCGCGTTCCTTATGATCCAACGGGTGCACACGTGACATTTGTAGAAAGAAAGAAATAAAGAAAGAAAATGCATTTATTTGGCCATTGGCACACGAAAACAAGGATCATTACAATAGAAATAAAAAATACAGTCAAAATAAAAACAAAACATTAATAATAGATTTTATAAAAGAGAAAGCAGCATGGAGCATTTTTTCTTATGATCCACCGGGTGCTCATAAGGACGCTCGAGGGGTTAAGATGCTTCTCATGCATGAGCGAGCGGGTTCGGGCAAGGGCAAGTACTAATGTAACATTTTCCGAGTTATATGTACTTTCTATGATTATCTAGACACCATTGACAGACGGTGAAGGAAAACATCGTGAGAAACCTTGACTTATGTACTAATTATAAGTTTGAAATCGCCAACTCGCATTGAGAAAGCGTGGTGATTAATGCTCAAACCTTAAATGTGTGAGAAGAGGCTTTGCTCAGCAGTGGGCATTTATAGGTTGATGATGATGATGATGTCAAAAAAATATTGCCTAAGGCATTAAAATCTGCTTAAGTACGAGTTCGTGCACGAATTGTTACAATAAATAAAATGCACGTACCTATAAAGTACGTTAAACACAAAAAACATAATTTTACTACTAAAAAACTAAAGCAAGCTAATTACCTTTAAAAGAATCCATTCATTCCGTTAAATAACCTTGATAATTTATTAACACTGATTATACTGAAATATTCAGGCAATCACACTCAAGAAATCTATTAATTTATCTAAACACTGAAATCACTGTTTTTCAGATAAACTTAAATGTATTTGATAACACTGAAAACATCACTTGAATTGTATAATTTACACTTTTTAAAATGATTATTCCTTTCATAATTGTCACTGAAAATCACTTTATAGAACACTTATAGAGTCAAAAATAGATTTTTTCACAACTGAAACGATTCCAAATACACTTGAAAAAACTTCAAATATTTATAACTAAAATCTTTTGTTAACTCGTCGAGTACCGGTTTTATAGACACAATTAAAGAACAATAGGTCGCGGTCACCGGTGACCGCTTGGTATTTGACAGTTTAATAAACAAAACAATACAGAACCACACAAAGAAAAAAAAATCACTTTTTAAATCCCAACCAAAGAAGGGTAGTTAGAAATTTTATTACACTCACTTTTTTCGCGACTACCTACATTTTTTGCACGGTGTTTATTTAACCGATTTTGTTTAAAAAAAGGGCAGTGCGGTGTTGTGATTCAGACGGGCACTGGTAGCGAACTAGCGGAGCGTTGAGTAGCATGCGGCAATATTTAGCGTCGGTTTACATGGCGGTCTGTTGCAAACTTTTGTCAACTATTTTGTTTAGTGTCAGGGCCAATGGTTTCGTTTCTAATGGGAGTCTATGATAGATATTTTTTTCAGAAATGGCATTAAATCTGTTATTGTGCAATAAGGTTGTCAACAAATTACTCTAATCATATAAAATCTTTTCTTAAAAAAATATAATTTTTTAAAGGGACCGTGATTTCGACACCTTGCCTTTTTTTAAGAGTGGAATATCATTCAATGATTTCTCCCGCCCAGGTGAAGCGAGAGGGAGTGTCAGACTCTGACTGACTAAAAACCACCCCGTTCCTACTCCTGCACTTCGAGCCGGAGCCCCGGAAACCCGTTAAGTCTTCCGTATCGCCATCAGCCTTATTGGGCCTTACCTGTGGTGGTCTGATGGCTTTCACACCGAGCCTGGAAGGTCGCAGTATAAAGGGTTCTGGTACTAGCTTATAAGAGAGCGCTAATACACATCTCTGTTTAGTTTTTAAGACTCTCTTGGCTTACTCGTATTAATATTACATATATTCTATGGGTGGTGTTTAGTCAGTAAGAGTCGGATACTTCCTCTCGCCTCATCCAAGGCATCATGAAAGGGGGAAAAGGAAGTCATTTAAAGGTTATTAAAGCGCTAAGGCACATCTATATTAAAACTCCTTTAGTATTAGTTATTATTACAACCGCCAGAACAGCGAGCA